TTTTGAGTGACCAAACAACACTAGGCAGAAAAGAGACTGCTGAGTTTGAGGCAATGAGGGTCCTAAGTGAAGCACAGTGCGGGGAAGAGAACCTGATTGGGTCAAAGAAAGGGGAATGAGAGAACAAAAACTCACAGTGCAGATGATTCTTTAGATATCTGCTACAAAAGGGAGCAAGAAATGGGGATGAACACCCTGTGAATCTGGACTAAAATAGACTGAGGTTATTTTGTATTTTGTATCTTGTTTTTGTTTCTTCTATGGATGCTATTTCGGCATCACTTTTAGTCTTTGGGAAAAGAATAAAGAGCAGAAGAGACTAAGGCAAGGCACTGGAGCAGCTAAGTCCCTGAGTAGATGAGAGGGAACCAGATACATTAGTGTTAGGAAGATACAAGGATAGTTCCATCATTTTGCTTTAATAGGTAGAAAAGCAGTTTATACAGGTACAGATACAGGTTGGTAGATCAGGGGGTGGTAAGTCAAACAGTGCTTGTTTTTCACTCAGTGTTCTCTTTAGTGGCACACAATTGTTGCCACGGCTCAATTTGACTTTTCTTCTTCAGTCTTTAGTCTTTTAGGTTCTGATTGTATTTTATGTCTTACACAGTTTCTATATAATTTTGGCCTATGCTGATAATTTTAGACTTTCATCAATTAGATACTTGCAATTGCTAATTTCTATGTAAGTCAAAACTCTACGTCCATAAAAACCACATAAAATTAACTGTACTTCCTCTAATACTTCAAAAATACCTATCTATGGATAGATATTTAGTAACCAGAGAATGAGTTGGTGTTCTGGCTTCTCAGTCAAAAGATGTCTTGCTCAACTATTTAAGGGATGAGTGTACAAAGCCAATTCCACTTACCAGAAAAAAAAATAAGCAACTCCTAAATTAGTCTGAGATGGGCAAAATAGAAACTATGAATACGTCCTGCATAATTCCATTGATTTCACTTTTTTTTTCCAGAGACCAGTGACCCAAAATTTTACCTCTTACCCATTTCATATTTATTAATTATTGTATGGACCTCAGCAGCACAGAAGTAGATGATAAAGAATTTTATCATTGTTTATGGTTATCATGATAGCTATTGACTTGATTTTCTTCTTCTTTCAAAACCAATTCCGTAGTTGACAGCTACTACAAAAATACATTGTCCATCCTATTTGAGTCTTCAAAAGTGGCACATTCACTCCAAATGGGGCCCACCATCAGCCAGTCAATCAATCAATCAGCAAACCAGCCAGCTGTGGATTTTCAGATGAATTTGGGACCTCTAACTTTGTTTTCATTACTGCTTTGTTCCCTAATTATTTTCCTGCTGTCTGGCTCCCACCATTTGACTTTATTTCCCTTTTCTGTTGACAGACTCAAGCTGACTGGTCAGTTTGCTTGGTTTTAGACTCAGCAGGATTTGCACTCCCTTTCCTGACTTCCCTCTTCCAGAGTGCTTTCTAAACATCTCCCTCAACCTTAGTTAAATAGCAAGTATACATAATCCATATAGCCTTCAGGTTTTTCTAGTTTTTTTTAGAAGTAGGGAAATTTAGTCTTGATCTGTAAGTGCTATTGCAATACACAGATTCAGAAAAAGAATTTTTCTGAAGATTAGAGTATTTGTAAAGGACAATTAAGCTGGTAAGCCTTTATGAACCAACATATCTATAATACTTGAATATCTCAGAAAAGGTTAGCAGTTCGTGTTTAGCATATATAATAATGGCTAACCTTTGCACAAGTGTCTGATCACACTAAGTTTTTTATGTTTGTTACTAGCTAAGTGCTCACAACAATTCTGTGACAGTTATTGCCATTACCCCATTTTACAAATAAGATGACTGAGGCTCAAAAACACCCAGGGACTTGCCCAGAGTCACACAGCTGAAAAGTGACAGAATAAGTCTCAAACCAAGCAAGTCTAATGCCAAGACCCCCCCCTTAATGACCACATTCTGTTGCCTAAGGAGACATCCAGCATCCTAGCCTTGTACATGTCAACCAAAGGACCCCAGGGATCTCCTCACTTGCACCTGCCCCACAAGATGACCCCTGCAATGCATGAGGACCAAATGTAAAATAGTATCATCAAAATGCTGGGTTAGAGCTCCTGTAAGATTATAGTTTATTTTTGTATCTAATAACAGTTTTTTAAATTCATTTTTGGGACAAGATACCCACCAGAGGATCAAACCACCACTAGTCTTATAGCCCTAATTGATGGAGGGAAAGTTCCATGTAGATTTTACATTTCTCCTTGTTGCATGTAATTGTAATCACAACCAACAACATAATTATCATTGATTGATTTGATTATTAAACTTATATTTCCTTCTTTTTTGGTCTTTGGCCAGTGCATGGAATCATTTAGCTGGCATTCCCAACACAGGAAAATGTTGAGAAATGAACTGTTTCAAGAAACTGGAGTGACATGTGGTCTCCTTCCCCCAGATCTATTGCCTTGGTTTGGTACTAGAAGTATAGCCTTTGTAAGTCTATGCTGGAGCTTAATTTCCCACTTCCTGAATTAGCATCCCTATTTAGTCTTCTTATTCCTTGATTAAAAATTCTGCCATGTTTGCCAAAGTATTTGTCCAAAACTTTTCTTTAAGTCCAATTTAGCACATCTGGTTTAAACTTTTTCATGAGATTTTTACTGACTTTCAAAATGTGTCTTAGTATAAACACTTGAAAGATGAAGGAAATTGTGAAGTAACAATATCTCTCAAATTCCCATGACTTATTTGATGTTTTATTGGACTTTATAAACATATAACAAAAAATCACAGCCAAAATCCCTGGAATAATGGGCTTTATATAGTTTAAACAAAATGCTGATAAAGGTACTTTTTTTTTTTTTGCTTTTTTAAAACTTAACATTACATCATGATTATTTTCCATTTCCCCATTAAATATCCATTACAATAATTTTAATAGCTATGTTTTTCTTTTTTTAAATTGTGTATTCTAATCTACTATTCCTAGTTATAGGAACATGAATACTATTTGCATGGTTTATATATAAGCTATGTTTTACATGGCTATGTATTAACATCATTTCTGAATTCTTATGACTTTAATAATATGTAGATTTTCTTAGTTTTTCTGTGTAGGCAATCATTATCATGTGTCAATAACAAATATTTTTATTTCTTACCTTTCAGTTTATATGTGTCTTATTTCTTTTTCTTATTTTACCATGATGGATACAGCTTCTATTTCAGTGTTGATCCACAGTGATAATAATTGTCATCATGTTTCTTTTTTGATATTAACATAGTTAATGCTGTAGATTAGACACACACACACACACACACACACACACACTTTGATTTGATTCACCTAAATTGTAATTTCTGCATTAAAATCCAAGTTCTGCCACTTTTTAGCTATTATCTTAGATAAGTTACTTAACCAATTTATGCCTCAGTTTTCTCAGCTGGGAATTAGAGTCAAAAAAGTACCAACTTCATGAGGTTGTTATTAGTATTAAGGAGATAATGCATGCAAAGTGCTTATAGCATACCTGTAAATGTTCAATTTAAATGCCAATTGTTATCTTCATCATTATAGATGAGATTAGTTTGTAATTTTCTTTCCTTGTATTTTCTGGATTTGGTATAAAGACTTTCTGATTTTTCTGTTTACAGAAACAATTTGTGCAAGATTTGAGTTGCTTATTCCTTAAAAGAAAACTCACCTGTAACACCACCTACCTGTGGTATTTTTCATGGTAGGTTTTTAATCACTGGTGGAAATTTCCTAGTATATTTGGATTTTCCAATGCTTCTTGGGTTCATTTTGGTGATTATTTTTTATAAAATCATTTAATCAGTTTAGAATTTATTGGCATAAATTATGAATAGGATACTTTTGTTTTTTCATTTCTACTTTGCTGTTATGTTCTATTAATAAATTTCTAATATTACTTTTTTGCTTTTTTCCTTGACTTCACCAAAAGTTTCTTACTCTTAGCAGTTTTTTCACAAATATTAGTTTTTGCTTTTTTGTCAATTCCATTGCTTTAAAAAAATATTTCTTTAATTTATGCTGATTTATATTTCCTTCTTTCTATTTTCTTTGGATTTACTGTGATGTTCTTCTTCCAATTTCTTGACTTGAAAGCTTAGCTTTTAATTTTAAATTTTTCTGAGTTTCTTAGTTTTCAATAGACATTTAAAATTATAAAATGCCCTCAACCACTAAGTTAGCCTTATCCCACAAATCTTCATATTTGATCATTTTATTCTTTTCCTTCTATATACTTTTAACATTTTCATTATTATTTCTTCTTTGATCCATGCATTATTTAGCAGAGTGCTTTTTGGTCTCCAATTGCATGGCATTCTTTTGGCTGTATTTTTATTTCTCATTTCTCATTTCTAATATCATTCCATTATGACAAAAAAATGTGGTCTTAATTACACTGCTTCTTTGTTATTTGTTAATATTTGCATTTTGGCCTACTATATGTTAATTTTTAAAGAAATATTCCATATATACTTGAAAATAAATGAATTTTATATAATAAAGTTTATTAATTGTGATCTTCTAATATTCTATCTTAAATACATTCAATGTATATATTCCTTTTAAGTCAACATGTCTGATATTATAGTATATTGTACCCAACTTTCTTTCAGCTCATAGTTGCCTAGTATGCTTTTGTCAAGGCTTTACCTTCGACCTTTCTTTATAATTATTCTTTGATCTATTCTTGTTTAGATAACATTTAGAAAAATAAAATAAGGGAGGCCATTTTGTCTCTCTGGATTTTCCCCTTCTCTATGTCATCTAGAGCAATACGTTTGAAAATACTTCAACTCAGGTCAACAAACATTTATTGAGTGACTCATATACCAGGTACTCTACTTGTAATACAAAATCGTGTAAGATATTTTTTGTTTTCTTCAATACCTTCCAATCTCACATATAGATGAATACAAGCAGATAATTCCAGTATAGTGTGGTAAATGTTAAGATAACAATACTCACTCGATAAATACCTTCTGATGATGAGGCCAGGCTGTAACCATGCCCCTCCTGGCTGGAGAAGAATCCAGGCTCTGTGTACACTAATTGGCATTGGGATGGCAAATAGCCAAGGAAGGCCCAACTTGAACTCTGCAGCCACTACAGGGTGTGAAGAGAGTGATTGTGATTAATTCATTATTTTAAAAAATGCCAGTGAACATAAGAAAAAATGACCTTAGAGTCATGATAAAAAAATTAACGCATGTGTTTTAACTCAATCTGTCTGAAGCACAGTTAAACTAAAAGATATAGTAGGGTATGTCCTATGACTGGCCCAGCACACCATGCCTCTGGAGGCCTTGTGAGGCACTAAGCCACAGACAAGTACATTCATAGACTGACAATACATGCTTTGTGTTCTCCAGCAACCATAACCATATTGCTGTTTTCAATGAAAAAAAATTAAAGTGCATTTTAAATCAGTATCGTTTTATGATAGTGATCATTTTTTGAACTGTCATTTTGTTATATTGATTTTTTAAAATAAGGAAAATATTGTTTGGAGTCTAAGAGCCACTAAAGTTACACCAGCAGACACATACCAAGGGTCTACTCTGGAAGCAAAGTTCCATGTTACATGTGTGTGGGCTGGACAATGCTGGATGGAGGTCAAGCTGGGAGATTCCATGGGGCCTTCAAACTCCAGCCCACCAAATGAAGTGGCACTAATTGAGGGTAGGAAGAGAAATTCTCAGTACCTGTGCATGTGGCCTTATTTGAAAATATAGTAACTTTGTAGTCAAGTTAGAATGAGGTCATCATGGATTATGGTGGGCTCTAATAAAGTGACTGGTATCCTTAGAAGAAGAGAGATATTTGGATGCAGACACAGACATACAGGGGAGAACATCATATGAAGATGAAGAAGGGATTAGAGGGATGTACCAACAAGCCACAGAATGCCAACTATTACCAGTAGCCATCAGAAGCTAGGAGAGAGACTTCTTAAAAGCATGGAACAAATTCTTCTTCAGAGCCTCCAGGAGGGACCAGTCTTGCCAACAGCTGGATTGAAGAATTCTGGCATCCAGAACTGTGGAAGAATAAATTTCTGATGCTGTAAACCACTCAGATTGCAATGGTTTGTTACAGGAGCCTCAGAAGAATACAAAGGAGGATCTGACTAGACAAGAGGTAGCTGAACTTGGAGGTATTCTCCAAAGACCTTCTAAGACACTTTTGGCCAGAGTTTAAACATATAAGCATTCAGTTCTAAAACAGTGGGTTCTCACTTTTTTTGTGAACACAGACAGCTAAAGGGTTGTAGAATACATCATAGTCTATGAAGGTAGGCCAAAGACCCATGTTTTCCTTTTCTACTTGTTTCCAACTTTCAATGGATAAAGAACCCAACAACTAAGAAAAGAAGATGCCAAAATGAACAAGTTAATTATAAGCTTGTGCAGTTTTATATTATGCAATGATGACTTATAAAGTTAAAAATAATCCAGTACCTTTGTTACACTTACTTTGATAGTACATTTTTGAGTTATTTGAATGCAGCAAATATATAGGCAGCATCTGATTAGTAAAGGCAACAAAATTTGGCAGACGATGCAGGTGTCTGCTTTATCTCTAGAGGTATAAACAATTCATTCCTGAACTCAACACAGGCATGCCTTAAAATCTAGTTATTGGAAAATTATGAACCAAATTAATGTTGATGCAAATGTGCAGAGTTACATATTGTAGGGTTCATCAAGCAACCTACATCATACTAAAATTAGTAATGACAAAGCTAACCTAACAGGAATTTATCACTCTAAAACAAGATTAGCAGCAATTGAAAAATCATAACAAACTGTTGATGTACTAATAACAACATGTCCTTCCTAAAAATCATGAGAAATCTAATGTGATGCCTATGCCTATGTGAAGGAGGAGCTTCATTTCTTAAAATATTTCAGTACCTTCTTATGTACTAGTTAAGTGCCTACTAGATGCATCAAGCATTGTTCCAGGTGATGGGGCTAAAGCAATGAACAGAACAGTCTCTCATCTCACCAAGGTTATATATAGCTGCATATATGCAATATAGAGTGGCAAATCTCCTTTTCTTTTTAATATTAAAACATGATAGGTTTCTATCAAGTAGCCTTGGCCATATAAAAATAAAGAAGAAATGTGCATCATTCACACCCAAAAAATGGTTTATGGTTTGGGATCTGTTTGCAGTCCATTACGATGGCCACAGTTGCTCTCCAATAGGCCAAATCTCATTCTTGAGAAACATTTCTCAAAGATACACTTAGATCATCTCAGGAGATGACTGGTATAATTTGACCTTTCACTTCCTGAAATAACAGAGTGTCTTATCCCTCTCTGTTAGAACACAAGCAGCACATCAGCTTTATTGTCATCTATTCCATTTTAGAGGATAAGATATGATGGAAGAGTAGCCTATTCTTCTTCAGTTTCCCTAGGAAAACATTAGAAATCAAGTCTGCCTTTCTTTCTGTTAAGTGCACTGGGCATACGGGCTCCAGCCAGCTTCCTTCAGCAAAGAAGCAAGGTCCTGCCCAAGCACAAATGGATGCTAACTTAGTATTGAGGTATTGAGGCCCAAGCTATACATGTATAAGGGATTTAAAATGCACCTACTCTTCTAGTCTTTATTCATCAAGGGCCTTCTCTATCAGATCTGTCTTTAAAATCCTAGCTCAGGTTTATCCATTTCACCTATTCAACTTTCTCAGATATCAAATTTTAATTTTCAAAATAGTTAAAAAGATGACTCTTATGCAAATCAACAGCACATGTCAAAAATTCATGGAACTCATTAATGAAGAATCCAGCAAGGTGCTAAAGCTGGTTCAAAGGTGAATTTGAGGACCAGAAATTTATGTAGTAACTCAGGAAAGGCATGTTGAAATACGTTTGCTGAGTGAAAGACAAACCTGGTCAATGTCCTTTAAGACAATAAAGTTATAATCTTTGGGTTTGTCTTCTCTGTGAACAGAATCCTATACATCTCCTGAAAGAGAGTCTACAGCTTAATGTACAGAGTGTTGGTCTTCACCATTAGTAAACAGAAAATAAAGCAAAGATTGAATTCTTAGGAGGACCTGTTAAACAATGCCCCACTATCACACTGCAAGGACTTGGATTTGCCTTATTTCCAAATTTTGAATAATCTTTTCTAAAGCAGGGATTTTCTTTTTTAAAGAAAAGAATTATTAGCTATGTTTTGAGTATTTATTTAACACCCGCTTTACAAAGATGGTATAGACCCCCCCCCCGCCCCTCTGTCTGTGTACGTGGATGAGTGCGAGTACGTGCATGTTTACCTTTCCATAGGAACAATATATGAGATGGATTTTTCTTGTGCTAACATTATTCGTTCCAGGTCCCCTGTCCTCCAGTTAAAATTGCATCCTCCTGGCAGAATAATCTGCCAGATAAAAATGTAAGCTTTGACTTTAGACACCTCTGAGTAATAATCCTGTTTTTTTTTTTAATTAACATTGTCCTCTAGCAAGTTAGTTAACCTTTCTGAATCTCGGTTTCTGCACCTCTAAACTAGAGAAACAACACCTACATTGTAAGGCTGAAGTGAAGATTGCATCTAAAGTACCGAACAATTATGGCACATAGTAAAAGAATGTCGTAAATATTGCTGTTACTCTCTTTTCTTAACTTTCCGAAACCCTGACCATAGAAAACTAGCACATCAGAGTCTTTGAGATTTAAAAATGTACACTTTAGACAGACATCAGATAATTACAACTCCATTGTTGCTGCTAGTCTAATTTTAGCAGATCCTAAATGTGATCTGTGGCGTTTTGTGTGTGTGTGTGTGTGTGTGTGTGTGTGCGCGATGCACTTTATTTACTTTGCTTTTAAGTTTCTTTAACTGATTCTGTTGCTTCTATATGGATCTGGATCTATAAAATTAGTATGACTTATTTCTATCAATCTCTCCAAATGTACTAGACGTTTATGGTTACATGTGTTCATAACACTTATCCCTGATACCAGTATATCCCTGGTCCCTTTACTTCAGAGATGGCACTAGAAGGATAGCATGGCACTCTGAGATCTTCTTGTGAAATAAAAAATAAATTAAAAAAAATTTTAAAAGCTTATTCTGCAGGTTTTGTTCTATCAAGTTCTCTTCTCTGTAGATCTTGAGAGGCCTCCCCAAATTAGACCCATGGACCGTCTGCTCATACCTTTGACTTATTGAATCATTTTAGGCAAAGATGTATTCTATAAATCCAAGTAGCAGTTAGAAGATTACCTCACTCAACCTCAGCCTGTCCACTAGAGAGTTTATTTCCTTGGAAAAGACTGTGTCAGAACCAAGCTTTAATCATATAACTTTTAATTCACTTTTCCTTAATAGATGTAAATGGCTGTTTGTAGCCTGCCCCAGGGATGACGAAACCATAGAAGCTAACATTCTAGCAAGGGAAGAAGTCAGCAAAATCAGTTACAGATGCACAAAGAAATTCACTGTACTCTGAATTGTTTCATTAACATGGTTGGACACTGCAGGAAAGGCAGGGAATTGCTCCTTGCAGCCTGAAAGATTTATTCCACTCACCTGTCACCTGGTTGGCCAGCTGCCTTGAGAAACTGTTAGAAAAAGGAAAAGAAAAATTAAGAGAGGTTCTATTACTTATTTTTATAGGAACAGTGGGTGCTGTGTTACTTGGTTCTTCTATACATTTTTGTTATTGTTTAAAGGAGATAAAGGGCCATGTGAAACACCACATAAGTGTGAGGTGTTACAATTATTTCCACAAATTAATATGAAGGCTGGAGAGTTGAGATGTGTAACTGTGCATTTTCACTGGCGCTGTTGGCAGATACTCTCAGAAGCAGCAATGGCTGCGACACACATGTCAGCACACATTGCCCATAAACAAGGAAGGCCTGCCTCAGAGTGGGGTTGAGGGAATTGATGCCTCACTTGAGTGCTTTGAGAGGCCAAGATCAAAAGCACTTTTAAGTATATCATATAATTATCATCATTAAGAAGCATGAGGCGAGGAGTCCTAAACTCCCAAATTTTCAAAGCAACAAAAGCAGCACAGCTTTAATGGGACTTTGAAGTCAGATAAATCTCCAGGTATTTTCATTACAGAAACTCACAACTAATTAAGGAAAACCCTATCCGGGCCAGTGTTTAATTATGTTTGCTTGTCCGCTGTGTCATGTACTGTGCTCTGAAAGTAGAGGGGTGTCAATTGGATTGTACCAAAAGACTGTGCTGGGACCAGCCAACAGCACTCATTTCCAACAAAGCATGGCATAGCAAGGTTTTGATCTGTTTTGTCTAAATAAATAAGTTCTTAATAAGCATTGATTATTTTCCTAATCATCTACATAGCCCAAAGGTTAGCTAAAACTTTCTCTGCAAAAATAACACCTAGTTTATAATACAAAGTAATGAACTGAACCATCTACATAGGAAGATGTTGGAAATTTTCTGTCTAATAATATAGTAAAGACAAATAGCACTGAACGTATCACCAAGAGAGGCTGTTTATATAGAAAGTAAACCAGAACTGCTAACTGGTGACCCATGAGCTAGACCTCACCTAAAGACATGTTTCCTTTGGCACAGAGAATATGGCCCACATTGTGTTTTTTCTAAAAATTTAAAATTGTGAAAAAGATTTTAAAAATAGAAAATATCTCATAGTGTATGGATTTCTGGTGAATCTTGAAAAATTGAAAGGTCTGACAACCTCAGGCCCACTTGGCAATCATGGGCTAGTTTGGACTAAGGAGGAAGGTTGACCAATTTCCCACAAACCCAATTGTGATGAATAGATAAGCAAAATGTGGTCCATCCATAAAATATAATTGTATTCAGCCATAAAAAGGGAAGAAGCACAGGTACAGGCTAAAAATTATCTAAGTCTTGAAAATATTATGCCATCATGCCTATCCAAGACAAAAAAAAGAAAATATTATACTATGTAAAAGATGATAGGCACGAAAGGCCACATGTTTTATGATTCCATTTTATATGAACTATTCCAATTAGGCAAAGCCTTAGAGACAGAAAGCAGATTTGTGGTTGCCAGGGGGTGAGGGAGAGGGGAAATGGGGCATGACAGCTGAGGGTGACACTCTCCTGAAGGTTAATCTGGAAGCTGCAAATTTGAGCAGCACGTTGGGTGTGATTAAAAAATCCTAGAACTAGATGGTGGTGCTGGTTGTGTAGTCACGGATGTCTGTAATAGCACTGAATTGTACTCTTTAAACTGGCGAAGACGATGAGCATTTGTTATTGACATTTCATCATCAGTTTTCAAAGTGTAAATCACAGACTCCTTGCCCATAGTGCTAGGACACGAGGAAGAAGTGGTTGATACAATAAAGGTGCAAATGTCCCACCTGGCAACATGTCACCTTTGCAGGTATAAGCAGGAAAGAGAACATGTCCTAGTCACCCTGGAACCTCTACCTGCTCCACTTGTCGGGGGGCAAAAGGTTCAACAAACATCTTCCTATGTGTGGCCAGGTCCTAAGCCTCGCTAAGAGCAGCAGGCCCATCAGTACCTGTAGGTGGGTGGCTTCTGTGGTAAAAGTCTGCTTGATCACACAGGGATTCCCTGAGGCCCTCACAGAGCATAGCTTGTGGAAGACATCTTGGACTTATTCTTCTAGGTCAGCTGCTGGAAAGTACCTCAAATTCTATGGCTCATCTTACAGGTGGTCCCACCCCTAACCAAGCCAGGGTCCTGTAATTTCTGCAGAAGGGATCCCCTAGCTACACGAATTAAAACCACTTACATTTCTCCTTCCTCCAAACAGGAGGAACTCGCAAATGATGAAAATAAAATAAGTTATTGTTCCTTGAGTATTTACTATGTGCCTGGCACAGCTCTAGATGCTTTACATGTGCTTGGTCATTTAACGTTCAAAACAATGCAGTGTGGCGGTTTTACAAGATGAGAAAATGAAGGCTCAGACTTTTGGTGACTCGCCCAAAATCTTCAGGTGCCCAGTACAAACGACAAGATGCCAACCCAGAGATCCTGACTCCAGCACCAGTACCCTAAATCCTATACTCATCAGCCTTTTTTAAAAAAAGAAGCCTCTAGATGCCACAGCAAAAGAAAGCCTAAAAGCTTTGCCACGTATTCTGTGAATTTCTTGGGGTAGGTCAGAGGAGTTGCACTGGGACCTCAAGTGGCTAGAAGTGAGCCTGGAGGGCAGCCATCCACCTGCAAAGCACTTACTCCCATGGCAGTGTCTTCTGTATCAGGGATTCCAGAGGAGCCGCTGTCAGGGGCTTGTGTTTAGACAGCAGTGCACTTCTGGACCTAGAAGGCTTTGTGTGTCCGCGAACCTCAACGTGTCTTGGCTACCTGGTAAGGTTCATCTGCATGACTGGGTTTGGAGCAAACCGTGTCTTCACAGGGCTCCTGGTATCACCAGCACAGTGAATTTACAAGAAGCTACATTGTGGTTATCAGAACCAGCTTGATTCATGAACCAGATATTGTGAACACATTTTAATTTTCTATATTCTTCACTTTCACAGCCCCATCCTCTGCTTTACCTACAAAATGGAAAATGGTGATGTCAAACTACTCATAAGTGTCCTTCACTGGTTCCCCATCTCATGAAAGCCCCCAGTCTAATCAGTTCTCAAGCCCCAAAGACCTCTGGACACTGTCCTGTTCTTCATACATCACAGAAGGCTGATCAGCTCTTTCAATGTCCCCATTCACCTACACTTGCTGGAAGCTATCTGTTTCATGTCAAGCACTATACAGGGCCCTTGGAATACCACAGGACACCAACCCTTCTCTGGAGGGTAATAGAGTCTGGCAGGGAACAGAGACTCGGGAAAAAAAACCCACATAAAGGGAATTGTTGAAAGAAATACAAGAATATGGAGGAGAGAGAGGGTACTCTGCCTAGTGATCAGGGAGGGTGTCACAGAGGAGGTGCTTTTTCAACTAACTCGATTATTCACCTCATGGTACTCACCTAAAAATCAGAATATCTAACCTTTGCAAAAGTCCTTTTTTCTTTTTCTTTTTATTGAACTGGAGTCTCGCTCTTGTCACCCAGGTTGGAGTGCAATGGTACAATCTCAGCTCACTGCAACCTGAGTTCAAGCAATTCTCCTGCCTCAGCCTCCCGTGTAGCTGGGATTACAAGTGCCCCTCACCCCACCAGGCTAATTTTTGTATTTTTAGTAGAGATGGGGTTTCACCATGTTGGCCAGGCTGGTCTTGAACTCCTGACCTCAGGAGATCCACCTGCCTCAGCCTCCCAAAGTGCTGGGATTACAACTGTGAGCCACTGTGCTGGCCCCTTTTTTCTTATAGTATGTTTTCAAATACTGAGGCATAGTAAGAGAATTCTCCGCACTGCTTTATGTTTCTGAGACTAATTTTATTTTATTAGACTTCATTTGCTTTTTTAATTTCCCTGGCGTGTTAGCCCATTTTTGTGTCACCATAAAGAAAAACCTGAGACAGAGTAGTTTATCAAGAAAAAAGGTTTCTGGATCACTGCTCTGCAGGCTGTATGAGAAGCACAGTGTCAGCATCTGCTTCTGGTGTGGCCTCAGGAGGCTTTGAACTATGGTAAAAAGTGACTAGGAGCCAGCATGTCATATGGTGAGAACAAGAGCAAGAGAGAGTGGGCAAGGTGCCCCACCCTTTCAAACAACCAGATTTCCTGTGAACCAACAGCAGGAACTCACTCATCACCAAGAAGATGGTGCCAAGTCATTCATGAGGGATCTGCCCCCATGATCCAATCACCTTCCACCAGACCCCACCGCCAACATTGCAAATCACATTTCAATATGAGATTTGGTGGGGATAATCATCCACACCATAGCACCTGGCTTTGGCATCAGAAAAGCTTAGGTCCAAATCTCTGTTGTTCCATTTAATAGCCCTGCTTCTTGGACAGATGACCCAACTACTATGAGCCTCAGTGTTCTCATCTGTGTAACTGTGATAATGCCCACCTTACCTCACTGTCTCTGTTTGATAATGCCCACCTTACCTCACTGTCTCTGTTTAATAAGGTAATGTACATAGTGCTAAGTGTAGGGCTGAACACACATCAGGGAATCACAGGTATCAGCTGCTAATATTTGTATTATTAGTACTCTTCCAAAGGTTGGGACACAAACCCATGGCCTAACTATATCCTGATTACGGTAGAAGGTTATGAAGATAATTCGCTTTATCCAGACTCTGAATACTTAGAAATGAATGTGCTCATTTCCAATACAGTTGATAAGTGATTCAGCTGATTTTAAAAGCTGCCTTCAGGAGCCTATATAAAGTGTGCCCTTGTGATACATACCCTTGTACCTTTATTTTTAGCTACACCCACCAAGCCTTCATAATAAATTTAGATCATAAGTTGATGCCACAGAAGAATTGCCCAGAGGAATATTTCATGGCCACTAAACAGTTCTAACCTGGAATAAATGAAAGAAAAATAAAAAACAATAATAAACCAATTTTTAAAACCTTAAATATATCCACACAATGTTATCGGAGGGGCCAAGCTCAACAGAGTATTTAGTATGTATTTTAGTAAAACGAGGAAGCAACGTGGAGAAAGTTGGGGGAGAGAGAGAG